GGAGCATTGCACCCATCCTGGAGCAGTGCATCCCATCCCGGAGTGTTGCATCCCATCCCTGGATCATTGCACCCATCCCGGAGTGTTGCATCCCATCCCAGGAGCATTGCACCCATCCTGGAGCAGTGCATCCCATCCCGGAGTGTTGCATCCCATCCCTGGATCATTGCACCCATCCCGGAGTGTTGCATCCCATCCCAGGAGCATTGCACCCATCCTGGAGCAGTGCATCCCATCCCGGAGTGTTGCATCCCATCCCTGGATCATTGCACCCATCCCGGAGTGTTGCATCCCATCCCAGGAGCATTGCACCCATCCTGGAGCAGTGCATCCCATCCCGGAGTGTTGCATCCCATCCCTGGATCATTGCACCCATCCCGGAGTGTTGCATCCCATCCCAGGAGCATTGCACCCATCCTGGAGCAGTGCATCCCATCCCGGAGTGTTGCATCCCATCCCTGGATCATTGCACCCATCCCGGAGTGTTGCATCCCATCCCAGGAGCATTGCACCCATCCTGGAGCAGTGCATCCCATCCCGGAGTGTTGCATCCCATCCCTGGATCATTGCACCCATCCCGGAGTGTTGCATCCCATCCCAGGAGCATTGCACCCATCCTGGAGCAGTGCATCCCATCCCGGAGTGTTGCATCCCATCCCTGGATCATTGCACCCATCCCGGAGTGTTGCATCCCATCCCAGGAGCATTGCACCCATCCTGGAGCAGTGCATCCCATCCCGGAGTGTTGCATCCCATCCCTGGATCATTGCACCCATCCCGGAGTGTTGCATCCCATCCCAGGAGCATTGCACCCATCCTGGAGCAGTGCATCCCATCCCGGAGTGTTGCATCCCATCCCTGGATCATTGCACCCATCCCGGAGTGTTGCATCCCATCCCAGGAGCATTGCACCCATCCTGGAGCAGTGCATCCCATCCCGGAGTGTTGCATCCCATCCCTGGATCATTGCACCCATCCCGGATCCTCGCTCCCTCCCTCTGCTCCGTCCCTCCCGCCGCTGCCCGGGGGCCTCCGCGGCCCGTTAACCCCTGCGGCCCCGCGCCCCATGGCACGGGCTCTATAGGGGACGTATAGCTCCATACTGCCCTGCCCCGTCCAGCCTGGGCCCTATAGGGGCCGTATAGCTCCATACTGCTCTGCCCCATTCAGCCAGGCTCTATAGGGGCCACATAGCTCCATATTGCCCTGCCTCGTCCAGCCCAGGCTCTACAGGGGCCGTATAGCTCCATACTGCCCTGCCCCGTCCAGCCGAGCTCTATAGGGGCCATATATCTCCCTACTGCCCTGCCCCATCCAGCCCGGGCTCTATAGGGGCCACATAGCTCCATACTGCCCTGCCCTGTCCAGCCAGGGCTCTATAGGGGCCACACACCTCCATACTGCCCTGCCCCATCCAGCCTGGGCTCTATAGGGAGCATATAGCTCCATACTGCCCTGCCCCGTCCAGCCGAGCTCTATAGGGGCCATATATCTCCATACTGCCCTGCCCCATCCAGCCGAGCTCTATAGGGGCCATATATCTCCATACTGCCCTGCCCCATCCAGCCCAGGCTCTATAGGGGCCACATAGCTCCATACTGCCCTGCCCCATCCAGCCGAGCTCTATAGGGGCCATATATCTCCATACTGCCCTGCCCCATCCAGCCAGGTCTCTATAGGCACCGTAGAGCCCCCATACCGTATAGCAGCACGGCTGGGTGTGCGGGAGGCCCTGAGCCCATCCCCGTGGCATCCCGCCTTGGGGGGCACAGGGGGGCTGGGATGCCGGGTTGGGGGCAGCTGGGACCCTGGGGAATCCTTGCTCCAGGGAGGGATGGATTGGGAGATACAGGATGGAGGGATGGGATATAGGACAGTATATGGGACAGGGATTGAGTGAAGTCTGGAAATCCGGGGTGTAGGATGGAGTTAGGAGGTAGGAGAAGGCACGGGATGGAGGGATGGGGTTTGGGATGCAAGGATAGGGTGTAGGATGGAGAGATGTGGCACAGGATGGAGGGATGAGGTTTAGGATGCAGGGATGGCGTGCGGGATGCAGGGATGGGGCACAGGATGTCGGCATCGGGCTCTGGCTCTCCTCTTCCTGCGGGATTTTCCCCCTTTCCCCACCTGATCCCAGGGAGGAGCCGGAGCCTGGAGCGCTGTGGGGAGGCTCCGGAGCCGCCTGCCCCCGAGGCCTGGGCGGGAGGGCCCAGGCGTCCGGGCCCTGCTCGGCTCCAGCGGCTCTTCCTGGTTCCGGCCGCGCTGGAATCCCAGCGGCAGAGAGAGCCGGGAGCCTCCGGGCCCCCGGCATTCCGGAAGGGAGCCGGGAGGGCGACGGCACCTCCAAAACCACGAGCAGCATCCGCCAATCCCGGGGGGAGGCAGAGGGATCGGGAGAGGGGGCGGATAACCCGGGAGCGGGGGCGTTATCCCGGGAGCAGGGGGGGGATATCCCAGGAGCAGACAGACCCTCATTGCCCCCGTTGTACAGAGGAATTGGGCTCCCCAAACCCCCCTGTTTCCCCCTCCGCGTCCACCCCCTCGGCCTCGGGGCCGCGACCGGCCCCAAATCC